AAATGGTTGTCAATAATTCATGCACCTACGTTAACCGAAAATTGGTGTTGGAAACGGGTTTCGGTTACGGCATAGGGATTTTCTTCTGCCCAGAAATAATTATTGTGGAAATTCTGAATGGCATTTTGAGAAAAATTATTGCAGATTTTGTGTAATTTTTTGAAGATACCACTGACAAAAGGTCACACGCCTGGGAAAATCAATGAGAAATAATGCCTGTACTCTTAAAATATGGTAAGGATATAACAAAAAATCCACTAAAATTCTCCAAACACCTTGATGGCAAATATATAAGTGTCTAGCGATCTTCTTCAAACTCGTTTCAGGATGTTCTTCGACTTCGTGCAGCACTGCTTCCTCAATTTCAGGTGTTCTCACACATGATCTACCTTCAGATGTTCTTTTTAGGACAGAACCAGTTACAACAAGATGACGATGAATATTAGAAAAGTTTCAATACTAAAAGATATTAGATGCTCAAATAGGTTCAAGAAAGAGCTGAGGAATCTCTTAATAGAAAGATGCTACTACTCAGTAGCCGAGTTTCTTTCAGGGTAAGAGTGATGCACCAAAAAATTAAATAGGAAAGTATGGCTGTATATACAGGGTGTTTCAGTTTATTGTTGCATAACCTTAAGATTCAATAGAACTTATAAAATTAATGCATAAAGTCTATATAAACATGGGTCAAAAAATGCGTAGCTTCCGAAATACAGGGTGTTTAAATTTACTTTCTAAAATAGTTTTTTTCAAATATTTCGAACAATATTTGATGAATAACAGTGAAAATTGGTATGCAAGGGTTTTTTTGGTACGACAAAACGAACCGTGGGCATATTTTTACTGTAGTCGCTAGAGGGCGCTCTCTACTGTACCTGTAGTGTATTAAAATGACTGAAAATTTTTTCTTGGTGCAATTTTTTGCTTTTTGAATAAAAAAACTGATTCTTCGCACTTTTCAACGTAAAAAACCTCTCTTGTGAATTTTCGTTATAGTTAGCCGTTTTTGAGATATTTCGATTTTTAAGGTTCGATGCATTTTTAATTATTTATGGTAAAATAACGTTAAATAGCCAGCATCTCGATAATTTTTAGAAGTAGGCTGTGCCCGCAAGTATTTTTGAAATTGAAAGCAGAATAAGGTTAAACATCAATTAGTTGACAGTTAGTTTTGTTGTCTGTTGAAACCTGAAACGTTTTTTTGCAATTGTGAATGCACGAAATTTAGTTTCTTTTACCTGTTTTTTTGTAAGTTTAATAAAAATGCCATTTTTATTCTCCAATCAAGAGTTAGCGGATTTTCATTTTGTGTATGGCTTTATAAATGGAAACGCAACAGAAGCAGCCAGAGAATAAGCACGAAGATTGCCAAACAGACGACATCCAACTCGCTCAGTATTTGTAAGAGTGCATCGCCAAATAATTGAAAATGGTTTTGGAAATCTCCAAAGGGATCAAAACATAAATGTTCGTCAGCGCAGATTTACCCGTATGATTCTGCGTGAGTTTGATAGAGATCCGACCACAAGTGTTACGAGAGTTTCTGGTGCCTTGGGAATTTCAGCAAGCCATGTTCACCGTGTTCTTAGAAATGACCATAGACGTCCTTAACATTTTCAACCTGTGCCAGGACTACAGCCAGGGGACGGAGAACGACGAATCACATTTTGTCAGTGGATTCTTGATAGAACTGATAATAATAGGGAGTTTTTAAGTAACGTTTTATGGACCGATGAGTCATGCTTCACTAGACGTGGAGTGGTAAATTTTCATAATCAACATATTTGGTCGCATGAAAATCCGCATGAAGTTAGGGAAAGAAATTTTCAACATGAATTTGGTGTGAATGTGTGTATCGGTATCTACTGTAATCGACTATTTGGACCCTACCTTTTGCCTGCAAGGTTAAATGCTGCGACCTTCTTGGAATTTTTAAAGGCTGAACATGCAAATATGTGGGATGATGTTATGTTAGACTTAAGAAGATTGGCCTGGTTCCAGCTTGATGGTTGTCCAGCTCATTATTCGAGAATAGTTAGAAACTGGCTGGACGAAAATTATCCAGAAAGATAGATCGGCCGTGGAGGACCAGATCCCCTGACCTAAATCCATTAGATTTCTTTGTGTGGGGATTTCTAAAAGAAAAAATGTACCAGACTCCCGTAACCACAAAAGATATGCTAATAGACAGAATCAGGAATGCATGTGATGAATTAAGGCCTTATTTGAATAATGCTATACCACGTTCGATCATTCGTAGATGTGAATTGTGTATTGAACAATTGGGTTTACATTTCGAGCAACTACTTTAGATTTTGTATGTTTGTCCTAACTATCCAATAGCATTTCAGTTGTAAATAATTAATTTAATTTGTTAAAAATAATATTGGAAAATTAACCAAGTTAATATTCTGTTTTTTTGTGTTTATTTGGAGTTAAGAATTATTGCTGTGTTTAAAAACACAATCTAAACGATCATCTTAATTACTTGTAATGCCCAAATCGAAAATGTAAAAAAAATATTATTTTCCCATAAAAAATTAAAAATGCATCGAACCTTAAAAATCGAAATATCTCCAAAAGGGCTAACTATAACGAAAACTCACAGGAGAGCTTCTTTATGCAGAAAAGTGCGAAGAATCAGTTTTTTATTCAAAAAGCAAAAAATTACACTAAGAAAAAATTTTCGGTCATTTTAATACACTGCAGGTACAGTAGAGAGCGCCCTCTAGTGGCTACAGTAAAACTATGGTTCGTTTTGTCGTACCAGAAAACCCTTGTATACCAATTTTCACTGTTATACATCAAATATTGTTCAAAATATTTAAAAAAAAAACTATTTTAAAAAGTAAACTTAAACGCCCTGTAATTCGGAAGCCACGCATTTTTCGACCAATGTCTATATAGACTTTATGCATTAATTTTAAAAGTTCTATCGAATCTTAAAGTTATGCAACAATAAACTGAAACACCCTGTATATGTGTGTATATATGTATATGTTTGTGTCTCTATATATATATATATATATATATATATATATATATATTATGTATGTGTATATATGTGTGTATATATTTACTCGTATATGCGTACTTTTATTTTTTTTCTATTTTTATTGTACTTACTTCTTTTACACCTTGTTCCATTTATTATTGTATCTGCTTGTTTAGTGGATGTTTTCATTCGTGCGCACATGCGTTCCTTGCCCTTTCTCGACTAAACTGTGTTTCTTTCCATTTTTAACCGACAAATTTATGTATTATTATTATACTTAACTATATTTTTAATCTTTGTAGATAATAATGTACTCATAGAGATATGCCTGACGAGTATTATATCATTTCTATGATCCGAAGACAATAAAGCATCTATCTATCTCTATCTATCTATCTATCTATCTATCTATCTATCTATCTATCTATCTATCTATCTTCCTCGTATACTCGTTTCAGGATATTCTCCGACTTCGTGCAGCACCGCTTCCTCAATTTCAGGTGTTCTCACACTTAGGAGTCTACCTTCAGACAGAACCAGTTTCGACAAGACGGCGATGAATATTAGAAAAGGTTCGACTATCTGGCAAAGCACGATCGGGATATCTCTGGTGATAAATCCGTCTGGCTTGCTCAGCATTACCGTCGGCAAGGCCATATACGTAATGCATTTCCGCCATTACTGCATTTGAATAATTCACCATTATTGACAAGATTGTAAAAACTATATAATGAAAAATATGTCACAGTGAACAGATTTGAATTGCAGAGACTTGTCAGATGTCAAAAGCCAGTGACATATTCCACAGCAGCTAGACATTTATTGCTAAATTGCATTCTTCAATTAAGACAATTTTCTCGGACAATAGAACGGTTTTTATTTTTTTACTCAAAAATGGCGCATTAACAGAAAACAATTCCGGAAAGATCATTTGTCTCAAATTGAACGGGGAATTCAAAAATATTTTGCAAAAAACCATTGAAATCAATACCCGTACGCACGCCACTGTTAAAGCTAAAAATTATTTTTGCATTCAAAAATATGCATCTTTATTAACTTTTACTACATACTAAATATCAGTAAAATATCTGAAACGGTTCTTAAAATATTAATTATTATTCCATATTTTTCTTAAAGCATCAACACCCCGAGTTTTTGTAAGGAAACATTTTTGGAACATAGTTTATAAGGCAAACTAACATTAATTTTTCTGTATATTCAAACCCTTAAATATTCGCGTATCACTAAGGAACACCATGTATGATTATATATAACTTAAAGCATTTATTAAAAATACGACTATTCGGCGATTTTGGACGTGAGTTTCCAGAGTCAAACAAAAACATAAGAAATTACAGCACAAAGCACCTTAAGAAAGAAAGAAGACTAAAAGAATGTGAAATTGATCTACAGAAAATACACGTACTACTTATTAGTTGGTAGAAATAAATACATTTCCGTTGGTAGTTTGAGTATAGGTTTACGATCATCCCCAGACAGAAGCGGGATTCGTCACTGAAGAGCCCCTGATCCCATTGTGGGCGATAAGCAAAAAGGCGATATACCGTATGCATACAAACCATCCATCCATGCTCTTCAAACCACTGATTAGCAATGGCTTGAGGACTACTGAATCTGTCTCTCAGAGCCAGAAGTCTTAACTGTCGGTCTTGTCGCGCTGTGGTCCAGAACTCGTCGCTCGCTGTCCTCGGCGTTCCTGAGTCCACGCTCGTTCACACTGCAGTATATTGCGTACGGATCAGCCACCACAAAAACTTAACAGACAAACCTGACCATTTTCTCACTTGCTGTTCATGGCAAGATCCCCAATTTCACTAGTCAGTTGAGAAAGCGGATTAAAAAGACGTATCTTAGATCGTCATAGCAGTCGTCGTTCCCAGGTTTCTGTGGTTCTGCATAAAAAAGCTCGCCTTGCTGAAAACCGGCTCTAATCACAGATACTCATATGGTGAAAGTGGAATTTGTAATCTTAGATGTTACTTACAGCACTCGAATTTGCTGGTCTCTTCTGAGACGCTCGTCTTTTGCCAGCACCCCAAGAATGATCTCTCGCTCCTTGTCTGACAATCGCGTGGCTTCCATAGCTGCAGCAGCGACGACGGAGTGCGTGCACGCCTCTTCCTGACAGCAAGACATCACCGGAAGTTCAGACCTGCAAAATAAAACACCATGTACGTTTAGTAGTAGTAGTAGTAGTAGTAGTAGTAGTAGTAGCAGTAGAAGTAGTAGTAATAGTAGTAGTAGTAGCAGTAGAAATAGTAGCAGTAGCATTTGGCCCTTTTTGCCAACCACGTAGCACCAACACTGTACTATTCCACAAGCCATCATACTAGGAGGAACTATGGCAATGCCATGTTGGGGGATTTTCTCCCAAATTTGAGTAACCTTTATTTGGGGAATTTTTTGAGGATATAATGTTCCGGGGAAATCATTGGATAGAAAGCATACCTGCAATTAACTGTGATTTTTTTTTCTGAAAGGATTCTGAGGGATTTTTGTGCTTGATCTGAAATCGGTCCGAACCCATCCGGCTGTACTTAAACATCTGCAGGTATCTATTTTTTAAGAAACTTAATTTTTACGAATGCTATATGCTAACTCCGTACTCCATTTAACATCCATCTAACAAAATAAATGATCATTTTTATAGAAAGAAGTTCAATTCTTTATTCGCTGGAAGTGCTTTAATCATCGTCCGAATTGACAATATTCATTATTACAGGTTCAATTTGAATATTCATCATATTGTCCAAATCCCACATCTTTTTTTTCGAATGTTTCTTGAACGTGACGGACGCAATATTTCCAGTAGTTTGCCGTCACTCTGTTGACAGCTTCATAAAACGAATGTTTCCACATGGTTTTTTATATTTGCCCAAATCCCTTCAATGGGATTTAATTCGCAGTGATAAGGGGGTAGCCTTAAATCGGTGTTATTTTGGTTTTTAGTTTTTTGGTTTTATATTTGTGCTGCCTTACTAGATGGATAAGTTCTGCTTTGACAATATTTTCATTGAAACTAATGCCTCGTGATTCTTGTAGAAAATGTGGGAATTTTTTCTAGTTTTCTAGTGTGGTATGCAGCATTATTATGTACTATGACGGTATTTTCGTCAAGTTTTGGGAGCGTTTCTTCAAACCATCGTTCAAATGAACTCCCGTCCATTTCTTCATCGTAGTCAGTCGTTTTCCTTGATTCAAATGCTCATAGGTAGTGGGCACAAAGTTATCTTCACTGCCAATGTGACAAATAACAAATCGTATTCCTTTGACTGGAAATAATTATTTAATATAGTATTCAGGAAAACTAGTACAAGCAGAGTATCTAACAGTTGTTGCTTGCAAATCTACTAGATATAGCTAAGTTTATTGTATCTAAGTTATCAGATTGGGCTTATAAATTCAGTCTACTTGACATCATTTTTACAACACAAATGGCGAATTGGACCTGACGGATTCTTTTGGCCAGTGGTTAGTCCATCTGAGAAGGCTTCTCTTACTGATTTAATTATAGTCAATCGATACTTTAGGTTTCGCATGTCCCGCATTAATCCAGGTTTCATCCAAGCAATAAATCGTCCTGATCTGGTCGCGGTATTTCTTTATTGATTTTATAATTTCTTCTCCATAAAATAATCTCTTGGCTGTCCATCAAAATACTACTACTGCCTCGTTTTCTATACCCAAAATGAAGTTCTTTGAGTAAGGTATAGTATGTTGTCCTTTTGAAAGTAGTTAAGTCTTCACTATTGAACTTCCGTAATACCTTGCCTTTGGTGGGAAATTCCTGTCTTTAAAAATATTGATGGCAGTACGATCAAAGTTATCAACTGTATCCAACAGCTTCGTGTAATGCCGCCTCTTGTGTGGTGGAGGCAATTTATTTTTTATTATATTCTTCAACAATGTTGAAAAATGTCTTAGGAAGTAAGCCTGTTTTGTCCGACAAATCTATTAATGTCATGTATTTTTATTTCAGGATGCTCTAAAATTTTGCTTTTATAAACGTTAAGCGTTTTGCTTAAATATTCAAATGTCCCTTCGTGTCACGTTTTCGACGAGGAGACATCACTGAAGAGGAAGTATGGCTGAAGGAAGCATTGGGAAAAGTATTCTCAGTTTCTTCTGCTGTATCCGTAGACGACATGCTAACGTATAAATACATGCTACGTATGTCTGCCGGCGTCGGAGAGGCGGAGGTACCCCGAGTCTGAGTTCTAACCTGTCTAATCCTGTACTTGTAGTGCCGGGGCGTAAATGGACCTCGACTAGGGTATAATGCAATATTGCATCATGCTTATTCAGTTATGATAACAGCTTCTTGTTGATCCATTGTTCTTTGAATTTCGATATGTTGTCTGTTGTAGGCCTACACTGCTTCGGCAGCGGGAAGCCACGTGTTCCTGAGCTAAGACGCCTTGTGAACCTAAAGTATAAATAGGTGCTGTAAACCTGTACTATTGATCAATACCCGCGCGACACCATAATATATGAATAGTCACATCTTTAATACCCGGTTATTTAAATTTAAAGTGAAAGTTATTTATGTTTATTATTTCAGAAGGAGTGCAGTAGCTACGGCACGCTAGAACACGTGTATATGCACTAGTGTGGTGGATCCCTATAGTTGAAGCTGTAAAAGGACAACGAGCCTTTAAAGAAGCTGAGAAAATAAAAAGAAACTAAGAAGAAAAGAAAACCCCGGGCTTCACAGCGAGCAACAGCCGCCTGACTGAAAGAGATCTGCAGGACCCCCTTGGAGAACACGATGCACCCTTGTTATTGGCATGGCCATCTAAAACGACGTCCGCTCAGTATCTGCGCACCCAATTATCCAGCCGTTGGCTCATCTCCAGGAATGTCAAAAGTCAGGTACATTCCTAGACTTTTCCCTTAAAAAAAGATCGACCGTCCAGCCACTGTCACGTGCCAAAATCACGTAACCTTTTTTCATCACTATTTTGATCACTAACCAGTAATTTGAATTTCTCTTTATTAATAGTAGAGTGCCCATTCCTAGGTCAACCTCTTTTTTAATGATTTTCTTCTGGCAAATTTCATAGCTTATTCATTGTATAGTTTCACATGTATTATATCTTTCTTTCTCAGCGATTCAGTAGTGTTTTGAAATCTTTTCGACACAAATGTTATAGTATTATTGACGACTATCTTAGAAATTTCCTCATTAAATTTTGGTGGTCAATCGTAGACAGAGTTGGCTCATCCTCTTAACATTCGCAGAGCGACGAATCTTGTTCATGAAGTAAGAAATGATTTCCATGAATTACGCAATGAACAATGGAACGACTTTCTGGCGGGGGTGCTTGACTCAAGTACTCCTCTCTGGAAAGTTACAAAGTCGCTCAGAAACAGAAAGCGAGAACAACTCCCGCACATCCACGGTCGTAGGGACTTAGTCTGTAGGACAGAGGAAAAGGTCGAGGTTTTCGCTGATGCAATGGAAAGTCAGTTCTCTCCCAACTATGACCTTGATACTGACCTCGACGAGGAGCAACATATTGTAAGATCCGTCAGGAGATATTTTAGGGCCAACGGCAACGGCGTCAGTGGCAGTAGTGCCTCCCTTAGTGATTTTTCCTCAGAGGAATCTCCAGAAGATTCCTCAATTGAAGAGCTGCACGGCACATCAGCGGAATCTCCTGAGACTCCGCATAACACACACACCAGCAGAGCTCCCAGGTCATATTAAAGACCTCAAGGTGCGTAAAGCACCTGGAGAGGATCGAATCACTAATAAGGCGCTGAAGCTACTTTCGCGAAAGTCCTTAACTTATCTCTTGGCAACAATCAATGCCATGCTAAGGATCCAGCACTTCCCAACGGCGTGGAAGACCGCTGATGTCATAATGATTCCAAAGAAGGTGGGTTCGATATATCCCCAGGATTACCGCCCCATTAGTCTACTGTCAGCTCCTTCTAAACTCGCTGAAAAGGTGATTCTACGTCACCTTGAAAATTTCTCGGCAGACCACAATGTGATTCCTGACGTGCAATTTGGCTTTCGGTCTGAGCATAGTACGGAGCTACAGGCGATAAGGCTTGTTGAACGAGTAACCAGTTGGTTCACCCGTACAAATTGATCCATAAGGGCTTCCCCTTCTGACTCCTAAAACTTTTGAAATCCTTTCTCGAGGGTAGGAAATTTCGAATCAAAATTAATAACGTTCTGTCGACAACACAGCCCATCAAAGCCGGTGTCACTCAGGGTTCGGTTCTTGGACCAGCCCTTTATTCACTTTTTATTCATGACGTCCCTTGCCCCAGCAGCTGTGAAACCTATCTCTATGCTGATGACACTGCCCTGGTGGCCCAGTCGTGCTCTGGGGATCTAATTCACGACTTCACTATTTTGATCACTAACCAGTAATTTGAATTTCTCTTTATTAATAGTAGAGTGCCCATTCCTAGGTCAACCTCTTTTTTAATGATTTTCTTCTGGCAAATTTCATAGCTTATTCATTGTATAGTTTCACATGTATTATATCTTTCTTTCTCAGCGATTCAGTAGTGTTTTGAAATCTTTTCGACACAAATGTTATAGTATTATTGACGACTATCTTAGAAATTTCCTCATTAAATTTTGGTGGTCAATCGTAGACAGTGTTGGCTCATCCTCTTAACATTCGCAGAGCGACGAATCTTGTTCATGAAGTAAGAAATGATTTCCATGAATTACGCAATGAACAATGGAACGACTTTCTGGCGGGGGTGCTTGACTCAAGTACTCCTCTCTGGAAAGTGGCGAAGTCGCTCAGAAAGACAGAAAGACAGTTCTCTCCCAACTATGACCTTGCTAATCATCTCAACGAGGAGCAACAAATTGTAAGATCCGTCAGGAGATATTTTAGGGCCAACGGCGTCAGTGATCCCGGCGCCGCCATAAGTGACTCTTCCTCAGAAGATTCTTTTTCGGAAGATACTTCAGCTGAAAAGTTGTACAACACATCAGCGGCTTCTCCTGAGATCCCGCATTGCACACCAGCAGAGCTTCAAGGTCATATTAAAGACATCAAGGTGCGTAAAGCGCCTGAGGAGGATCAAATCACTAATAAGGCGCTGAAGCTGCTTTCACGGAAGTCCTTGACTCATCTCGTGGCTGTTATCAGTGCCATGCTAAGGACCCAGTACTTT